ATCTTGCTTGTCATGCAAAAGTTGCCTAACTGGTGCGCACTTGTTATTTGAGTTTTGTGTGTACTGCATCTCTTTTTCATCAATGAAAATACAAAGATCAGCATTTGAAGTCCAACTCTGGTAGGTGGTTCCCACGTGTGTGAAATTATACAGTACTTATGGTTCATGTGAAAGAACAACTATTAATTAACTTTATCACAGGCAATCTAGGCTTCCTTAAAACCCGTGTGTTTCTTTCATTCCCTTGTACCACATCCTTACTGTGATTTCCATACCCAATCCGTCCTCCACACCGTGTTTTCCCAGTGAATCTGTTAGTCGTACTTGATGACCTCAGTAACACATGAGGGGAGGAAAAGAGGAACGCACTGGCAATGCCGTGCGCCAAGTTGCTTCAGGAGGAGCAGACACCATTAGAATAAGTCAGTATTTTTGCTAGCCTGGCCAAGTGCTTGTGCTGGATTTCGCAACTGCCACATCACACGCCAGATTGCCATTTCATTCAAGTTAAGATTATATGTCAGACTGCCATTTACGGCCAGACCACATTATTTGTTAGAGACAAGTTTCATGCCAGCCCACATCATCTGCCATACTGCCACTTCAAGCCTTGCCAAATCGCATGTGAAATAGCCATTTCAAGAGGGACCACATCATTTGCCAAATTGCCATTTCAGTCCTGGCCAGACTATCTCCTAGATTCCCTTTTGGACGTGTCCACAGCTCTTTACTGCCATATTGTCGTTGACTCGTATCATACCTTACCACAACATCTTTCAGATTGTCATTTCAGGTTTGACCTCGTCATTTGCTACTTCGAACTTACCTAAACATCTGCCAAGTTACCATTTTAGCGCAGACGACATCGTCTGCAACATAGCCATTTCTGGCCTGACCGCATCATCAGACAGATTGCCATTTCAGGTTTGACCACATCATAGGTTAGTTCAGTCTGACCATCATCTGCCAGATAGACATTCCAAGCCTTTTAACGTCATCCGCCAGTTTGAAAGATCAGGCATGAGCAGAATATTAGCCCGATTGCCAAATCATAGATGCCAGGTTACCAATTCAGGGATGCCACATTACCTTAATGTCACATCTCCAAAACAGTAATGTTCAAAAGTTCTGCAAGGTTTCCATTTCACGTCTGACCACATCAGCTGCCACATGGTCATTTCACGCCAGACGACAACACGTGCCACACTGGCAATTTAGGCCTGACCACATCATAAACCAGTTTGCCATTCCATGCCTGACCACATCATCTCTCAGGTTGCCATTTTGGCTTTACCACACCATTTGTCAGATTAACATTTATAGTCTAACCACATTAGCTGACAGATTGCCATTTCAGGCCTGACTATAAATTCTGCCCAATCGTCTTTTGATGCATGACCACATTATCAGTCAGATCGCCATTTGAGGCCTGACAATTTATCTTCCACATTCCAATTCGGAGCCGGACCACATCATGTTTTAGATTGACATTTCGGGCCCAACCAAATCATCTGCCATATTGCCATTTTAGGCTTGACCATCTCATATGCAATATTCCCATGATCCCCATTTCAGGCTTGACATCATCTGCCAGATAGCCATTCAGGCTTGACCACATCATTTGCAAAATCTCCATTTCCTGCCTAGCCACATCATTAGCCAGATTACCATTTTCGAACTGTTCACATCATTGCCACCATGCCATTCGGGCCTGACCCATATGATCCACTAGGCCCACCTTTTATGCCTGATCACAGTAGTTGCATGCCTGTTTGCCATTTCATGTCTGACCACATCAACTGCCAAATCGCCATTTTCTGCCTTGATCACAACATTTTCCAGATTGTCATCTCAGGCCTGACTACTTGACTTGCTAGTTTGCTGTATCAAGTCTGGCCACATGATTTGCCAAACTGCCATTTCAGGCCTGGTAATCTCTTCACCTATATACCTTTTCAGGCCCAACCACATCATATGCCTGATTGCCATTTCGCCCTATCCACATCATCTCCCAGATTGCCTTTTGAGGCCTGACCTGCCAAATTGCCATTTTAGGCCCGACCACATAATTTCCTAGATTTTCATTATATGCCTGACCATATCATCTGCTATATTGCCACTTCAGACCTCTCCATATCATCTGCCATATTGAAATTTTAGGCCTGACCACATCATCTGACAGAGAGGTCCATTTTAGGCTTGACCACATCATATGTCAGATTGACACTACAGGCCTCACCACATCATTTACCAGATTGTCACTTCAAGCATGTCCACTTGATCTGCCAGATTGTCGGTTCAGGCCTCACAACATCATTTGCTAGATCGGCATTTCCAGACTGACCAAATTATTTGCCAGATTCCCATTTTAGGCATGACCTTATAAACTTCCAGGTTGCCCTTTCAAGCCTGACCACTTCACATGCTAGATTGCCATTTCAGGCTTAACTACATTGTCTGCCAGAATGCCATTTCAGGGCCTCTTGAGAAAGCTTTCTAGATGTCGTTTCAGGCCTAGCTACTTGGTTTGCTAGATTTCCATTTCAGGCGTAACCACTTAATATGCTAGATTGCCATTTCAGGCATGATCACCGTTTCACCGAAATGCTACTTACCACATCATTCGCCACAATGGCATAGAACCATGAATACATTATTCGCAATATCCATTGTTTAGGTGGGAAACATTACCTTGCTAGACTCAAATCGTAAAGAATAACCTTTGGAAAGTACGTTGCATGATTTCTTTAAACGTTGACAGGGTAGAAAGAATTAATTTCTTTGGCAGATTTATCTCCAGTCAGGTTCCTCTTCTGGCCTTGCCACATCATGTGTCTTATCCATGACCTGACACTGGACCACTTCCTATAACTAGATGACACCTTTTAAGCATAAATCTGCCCAGTCTCTTATTCATATCTAAGCACTTCAATCCTTTGCCTTTCACCCTTTCATACATGTACACGTCCTTTCTTGTCATGCTCGCATTTAGACCAGGGCCCAATTTTGAAGGGTATTTTAACTTGATTACCCTTGCCAGTGGCTGCTTTTCCAAGATTACCTTGATGTTGTAAAGGCAAATTGTTTATGACCCTTTTCAGGGGGGGAAGGGGGGTGGGGGAAAGAAGGAAAGGGGAAGGGGGGAGACGAGGTGATGGGAAGGACGTGATGGGACGGGCAGTGTGTGCGATCATCAGCATCGGCCGAATCTCCCCCGGCTGCTCTTCTCCCAGGAGAGGGTTGAGCGGTTTGGGCTGGACACCTGACGAGGGGGGTGGGGGTTGGTGGGGGAGCGGACGGAAGGGGGGATAGAATGGCGTTGATGCGTGGATGCAACACGCAGGAAGCACCCTCAGCCACACTGAAAAGTGAGACGAGGACTGTGAGAGAGGCGAGGAGTGTGAGGGAGGCGAGGAGTGTGAGCGAGGCGAGGAGGATGGAGAAGGTGAAGGGAAGCGGAGAGCAAAAGAGGCAAGCATGAGGGGGAGTGAGGGGGAGGGAGAGAGAGGCGGAGAGAGGGGGGAGAGGGGGAGAGAGGGGGGAGAAGGGGGGGGAGGGGGAGAGAGGGGGAGAGAGGGAGCTTACAGAGACTCAGAGGTCGATGCCTTTGGGAACGTTGTAGGTTTAAGGATAGAGCCGCAGAGCCCCTGACAAACCACGAGATGGTGTACCTGGCGAGCGAAAGAAGGGAGGGGAGGGGCGAGAAAGAGGAGGGGGGGGGGGGGGATTGTTGCACTGTGACTGGGGGAAGGTGATACTAATACTTGCAAATTTGATTTGGTAGGGTAAAAAGGAAGGTGATAGGAAGCGGCGACCACTCCACACGAGAAGGAAAAAGGAAAGGTGATATGATGATGGAAAAGTGCAAACGAGGAGGACATGGCCAGTCCACGAATTTTGCGACAAAGTGGGGGTTTTGTCGCCACGTCGCCTCCCCTCCATCGCAATTGACGACGTGGAGTGTAACGCATACTAAATCTACCTAGCGCAATTGGCACGACCTAGCTAAGGCACCATAGCGTGACGTGAGCTAGGTCGCAAGTATGTGAAAGTTGTGCTAGGGAAGGATGGGTTGGGTGCACAATTGTGGTTAACCACCCAACACAAGGCAAATGTGGTTTGGAAATTCCAACCCTTTATGTTGAGGCAGGGGAATTCCCAAGCCTACACATTGCGAACCAATGGTTGGATTTACAACCAACTCAATCCAACATTTTCTTCCACACACTTGCTCTCAAATGGGTAGCAACCCAACCTAAAATGCCACCTAAGCAACTCAACTCTAGGAGCTCCTCCACCTTGTTGCCATGGAGGAGTTGGAGTTTCCCAAGGGGTCTAGTGAGGGGTTGAGCTTTCCCAAGCTCATTCTCGATTGCCCAACTCCAACAATCTAATTTGGAGATGGGATTTACTCCAAGTCTTTGAGCTCTCCTCACAGCTTCCCCTACACAACTCTCTCAAGGACTTCTTCACTCAAGCCTCTCCTTTCAAGACTTCACTTACAACTTCAAGGCTACTCTAAGGAGGGAAGGCTGCGGCAGCTCCAGTCGCACCATCTGCTGTGGTTACGCCTGTGGCCATGGTTCTGGTGTCGCCTGTGGTTCCTGTGGCTCTGACTGCATCAGCGGTGATGGATACGAGCGTGACTCCTGTAGCTGCAGCAGCAGTGCTTGTAGCGGATGCTGCTTGACCATCAGTGAACCCAGTTGAGAGCGCGAATGCGTGCAGCAGCAACAGGCTGAGGGTGTCTGGTGAGGCGAGTGGAAGTGTTCCCCGCTCACGCGAAGAGAGGGAGGCGAGCTGGAAGAAACTGTGTGAGGAGATCTGGGCCATGGACATTGAGAAGACCAAGGCAGCCATGCCTGACTGGATTGTGGCCAAGTATGCTAAGGATGTTGCAAAGCTGACTCGGAAAAACGTCCCAGTTGCATCTGCAGCAGCAGCGACTGTAGCAGAATCAGCTGCACCATCATTGAGCCCAGTGCAGGAGTCGGTTGCGCCATCGGTGAGCCCAGCTGCGGAGACGGTTTGCCAGGTGCAGTCTGAAAGCAGGTCAGGCAAGAACGAGTTGAGCAGCAACGGGCTTATCATGTGTGGCGAGGCGAGTGGAAGGGTGTTGCGTACACATGAAGAGTGGCAAGCCAGGTTCTACAAGCTGAGCAAGGAGGTACGGGCCATGGACATTGAGAAATCCAAAGCAGCAATGCCAGACTGGATTGTAGCCAAGTATGCTGATACTGTGGCAAAGCTGACTCGCACAAACGTGGCTTCCGCATCTGCAGCAGCGGCACCTGTAGCAGCAGCAACTGTCGCAGAGTCTGAAGCACCATGTGCTGCAGTAGGAGTAACGAAATCACACGCTGGTGCATCATCAGTGAAGGGTGCTGCACCATCTGCACCATCTGCGAGGCAAGGCAAGGCCAACAGCAGCCATGCGAGTGGGGTGGAGAGGAAACGTTGTTAGTACTCACTCCTAAGTTGATATTTGTAAGCCTCAGATGCATGTATAAAGCATATCCGTCCTGCATGCTGTTGTGGAGATCATGTTTTGCGAAGAATGTAAGAAGCTCAGGCAAGAATCATCAGATGGATCTTGTTTCAAACGCACAAGGCTGGGCATGTCGCTCTACACTGACGATATCCTACGCTGGTGCAGCAAGCAACGCAGCTAAGCATTCCCACACAACAGCAGTTGTTTGCTCTTGCACGGCAAACTTCAAGTTACTGTTCAACTGCCCCCCAGCAATCATGCAATTGCTGTTGAGGCAGCAGCGGCAGCAACCCCCCTCGGCATCAGCCTGCACCAGAGCCCAGCCTTGGTGTGCATGGTGGTGCCCATAACCATCTGTCTCCTCAGGAGGCCCATCTAGGCGCACATCAGCACCCACCATCATGCAGTTGCTCTCGCTGCAGCAGCAGCACCCACCCCGCCCTTTTCTCCTCTGGGCTTCAGCGTGCCCCAGAGCCCCTCCTTGGTGTGCGTGGTGGCGCCCATGACCAGGTGACGCGGAGGGCAGCACGGAAAAGCCAGACGCCACCTAAATGAAAAACATGGATGTTTCATGGGTGGTGGTGACCGGTTGGCTGAGGCGCCCAGTCCAGGCACATGTGAAATCTGCGCAGGAGCATGGCGAGCACCACAGGGAGGTGGTGGCCCTCATGTGAAAGGAAGAAGTGTGGTGTGGAGTAAATCAGCAAGCCACAGGGGGGACTCCATGAGGGCGAACTGGTTGCTCACGCCACACCCTTGCGCGGGCCAGCCAAGAATGTGCCACCCAAGGGCCAAAAAGCGGAGTCCGACGCCAGCTGGATGAAACGGATTTGTGGTGGTGCGTGGGTGAATCCGGACTGATATTTATGAACACACGGACTCAGGCGCACTAAGGTCACGTTGTAAGGCCCCCATACACTCAGCTCGTTGGGGTAATTATCCCCCGCCCACAACGCCCCCCCTCCCCCCACACCAAGTTGGGTTAACACAACACTCCCTCATTGGTGTAATAACCCCAATACACCCACCTCATTGGGATAGAGCGCCCGCTGCAGCCGCTCAGGCTCGTACCCATCCCACCCGTCTATGCCCTCGCCACTCTTCTTCTCCAGAAACCACTCCGGCCAAAACTCCTCAGGCTGCTCCCAGTAGTGCGGCGAGCGGTTGATGTTGAACACCTGGGGAGGGGGGGGGGAGAAAAGAAGGGGAAGGAAGCAAGGGAGAGATCCGCGAGGGGACGCAGTGCCCATCCTTCCCTCTGGCCGAAACTCCTCTGGCTGCTCCCAACAGTGCGGCGAGCGGTAGATGTTGAACACAAGGGAGGGGGGGAGGAGGGGGGTTTGGGGAAAAAAGGAGAGGGGACATTGATGGGTGAGTGGATGATGGGCAATACATGCAAGCGGCTGCTCCCAGTAGTGTGGGTAGCGGGTGATGTTGACCACCCTAAGCCACGCTGAAAAGAGAGGCGAGGACTGTGAGAGAGGGGCAGAGAGGGGGAGGGGGAGAGAGGGGGAGAGAGGCGGAGAGAGGGGGACAAAGGGAGAGAGAGCGGGAGAGAAGGCGAGAGAGATGGAGAGAGTGGGTGAGAGGGGGAGAGGGGGGAGAGGGGGGAAGAGGGGGGAAGAGGGGGAGAGGGGGGAGAGAGCGGAAGAGAGGGGGAGAGAGGGGGAGAGAGGGGGAGAGAGGGGGAGAGTGTGGGAGAGAGGAGGAAAGAGGGGGAGAGAGGAGGAGAGAGGGGGAGAGGGAGAGAGAGGGGGAGAGAGGGGGAGAGAAACGGAGAGAGGGTGAGAGAGGGGGAGAGAGGGGGAGAGAGGGGGATAGAGGGAGCTTATGCGGAAAAGTGCAAACGAGGTGGACGTGGCTAGTCCACGAAGTGCGTGACAAAGTGGGGGGGTTTGTCGCCAAGTCGCCCCCCCTCCATCTCAGCCGACGACGTGGAGACCAAACCACCAGGACGGAGAGAGGCGACCCGACGTGGCATCACGCCATTGGATGTTGGTCGTTCGCCATTAGCGTAGAGGTCTGGCGGGAAATTTCCAGCGATAATCACAACCGTCCAATCTCTCCAATTTAGTCAGCAACTGCAGGAACAAAGCTGGCAAAGTCCGTCGCATCTTGATCTCGCGGGAAATGGGCTCTATCACCTCCGCTTCTGTCAAACACCCTCCTTGCTTCCATCGCCCAAACCGCACCCTCTGCGTCTGACCCACTCAACTGCAGGAACCGAGCTTCCCAACTACCGACAATATGTGAAACAACCCTAATGGTATGTCTTATCGACAATCTCAAACATTTGTATGTTTTCTATAGAGTATGCTGCTTCTAGAAACCCATGACCGAACACTTGGCGAGTTAGTTCGGGCAATACTTCTGAAAGTACGAAGAGTTACACGAGACAGTGACCTGGCCTAGTCCAGCGGTGATGCGGTGATTTCAGGAGGGGCGAGATTGGTGCAAGGCTAAGTGTGTGCCGACGTGATTTTTGTTCTAGTCTGGCTGGAGACGACGAGCCTAGTTTCACAAGGGATGTGAGAGGGTATTACTTTCAGAAATACGAAGTCCAGATTACATAAACTCGTATCGAGGAATCTGTTTCCTCGTTTAGTCACGAACGACTCCAGACTGACCGTTGACTGCTTTCAACGCGGAACATTTTCGGTGGCCTGCAGGTTTCGGCAGTCAGCCTGCCCCACCGCCAATGCACTTCAACCTTAGCCACCACGTGGCCTGCCCGGCCAACACGAATCAAAAAGCGCCGCGTGCCTCAATTCGCGGCCCGGAAAAGGGTGAATAAATTTCGAACATTTCCGACATTTGCCACCACAGTTCCCAAAGACAGCACAATCAACCAAACCCACTGGAGACCCATTCCTCCAACCTGTCTCAAGACGACTCTCTGCTCTGCTCGTCCTTCACTCGCCGGACCTCCCAGCCTACCAATATGGGTCGGTTTTTTCCTCGCGCCGCTGTGATTCTGGTCCTGCAGATCTCCAGGGACAGAGCCGCACGCACCATCACTCTTACACAGTCACACTTGGTGCGCCAGGTCCTTCAGAGGTTCGGTCTTCAGTTCTCATCCGCACAGCCCACACCTCTGCCGGTAGACCACAGGCTCTCAGCTCCAGTTACCGAGGAGTCAGCAGAGCCCAGTGGTCTTAACGCAGAGCTGGTGGGTTGCTTCATGTACCTGATGACGTGCACTCGCCAAGATCTCGCATACACTCTCAGCATCCTGGCCCGCTTTGTGGCCACAGGCAGACACCGACCACAGCATTGGTCGGCCGCTAAGAGGGTTTTGCGTTATCTTGGAAGTACATCGGGCATGGGGCTATTGCTGGGAGGATGCAGGCTAGTGGTCCTTACTGGGCACACAGACGCTTCTTGGGCAGACGACGCTGAGACCCTCCGGTCCTCCTAGGGCTACTTCTTCAGCCTTGGTTCTAGTGCCATCTTGTGGAGGTCCACTTGCACCTCGACTGTAGCTCAGTCTAGCTGCGAGGCTGAGTTCTACGCCGGTGCCATGGCGGCACAGGAGCTCCGCTGGCTGACTTTCTTGCTTGCCGACTTAGGTGAGCGGCCTAGCTCTGCCCCGGTTCTGTATGCTGACAACAGAGCCATGATCCTCCTGTGTCAGGAGCCTCGACTTGAGGGCAGAGCGAAGCACATCCAGCTACGGTACTTCCTCCTGCGCGAGCTTCAGCAGCGTCGCCAGGCCCGCGTAGTACACTTGGCCTCCGGTGCCAACACAGCTGGTATCTTTACTAAGGCGCTTCTGCCTAGAGATCATGAACGGCACTGCTTGTAGTTAGGTCTAGTCCTTGTTGACTCTCACTTGCTAGGCCCTTGATTGTGTACTCCTTTCTATTTATGCCTTGCAGACTGGCCTTGTGGTTTTTCTTCCAGTGGTTGGACTAGTAGTGCCGCCCTGGTTTGCTCTGTCTTGCTTGTACTCTTGCTGACTGGTCTTCGGGCCCCTGCCTCAGAGGTTGGACTAGTAGTGCCACCCTGAGCTGCGTGTTTCTTGCTCAGCACTACCCCTTATCTAGCCTGGGGTTTTGTCAACTTATGCATATATTGTTATGCAGAAGTTATAGGCTAGATATGTTATGTTCTTAGTGGGTACAACCCTAACACTATATCTCCCCTGTTCTTCTTTGTTCTAATCATTGATTCTAGTTTTAACACTCTGGCCAACTGCGGTGTATATATACACTCATTGAGTTACTATATCCATGTGTTGCATTCAAGGAAGCATTTGTTTTGGAGTGACCAACATCTACCAGCAAGCCCACCATCTTCATCCCACTCAGAAATGAGGGACTCAGATTGCCCAAGGGAGAGATAAAGTGGGAGCCATCCCACAGCAAGCAAGCCACACACACCCTTCAACCTTGATTCAGTAGGCGTGTAAAAAGGGCGGCTCAAACCATGGCACCTGCAGAAAGGAGGCGACATGCAGAGACAGCCAACGCTGCTCTGCCAGTGACAAGCGAGCGCCGAAGGAAAGTGTCTCGCCGCCCGCCATGGTGAGCTGGCAGAAAGTGATTGGCGGAGAGTGATGGTGGTGGTGATAGTGGCCGCTATGCTCCCAAGAGTCATGGTGATAGTGGTGGTGCTGTAGGCAGGGCATTAGGTAGGAAGGGAAGGAAAAGGGTTTGAAGGGAAGGAAAAGGGTTTGAAGGGAAGGAAAAGGGTTTGAAGGGAAGGAAAGGGTTTGAAGGAAAGTGCAACCCCCGAAAGTCATTGTGATGGTGCTGCAGGAAGGGATGGAAAACGTTTTGAGTCGACTTAAGAGGAGAGTAGTGGCGATGGTGATGGCGATGGTGATGGTGACATGCTAGGAGTCGTGGCTGCTATGCTCCTAAGAAAATAATAATCATGGTGATGGAGATGGTGATGGTGATGGAGATGGTGATGGTGATGGTGATGGTGATGGTGATGGGGATGCGGATGGGGATGGGGATGGGATGCGGATGGGGATGGGGATGGGGATGCGGATGGGGATGGGGATGGGGATGGGGATGGGGATGGGGATGGTGATGGAGATGGTGATGGTGATGGTGATGGGGATGCGGATGGGGATGGGGATGGGGATGCGGATGGGGATGGGGATGGGGATGCGGATGGGGATGGGGATGGGGATGCGGATGGGGATGGGGATGGGGATGCGGATGGGGATGGGGATGGGGATGGGGATGGGGATGGTGATGGAGATGGTGATGGTGCTGGTGCTGTAAGGAAGGGATGACAAAAGGTTCGAGAGTAGGGCAGCGAGAGTGGTGTGCACACAAGACAGCCCAAAGAAGGGCAGCGTCTGCCCCTTAACACTCCGGGGCCACCTGTCCACATGCACGCCCTATTGGCGCGCTCCGTCTCACCTGCATCGTATTGTTGATTCCAGCGCCGTGGATGAGAGCCGTGTGCACAGAGGACAGCCCAAAGAAGGGCAGAGTCTGCCCCTTAACACTCCGGAGAATCGTGAGCTGACACGTGGACGAGTCCACAGTCACTGTTTCGTCCATGATGTGGCGCAGCACTGAGTGCGCCAGAAGGCTGGAGAGAGGGGAGGGGAGCGGGGGGAGTGGCGTAAGGTGCATGCAAGGTTATGCGATGCGGTATCAATCCAATCAACATCATGAAACTATGACCGTCACTGTTTCCTCCATCATGAAACTATGACAGTCACTGTTTCCTCCATCATGAAACTATGACCGTCACTGTTTCCTCCATCATGAAACTATGACAGTCACTGTTTCCTCCATCATGAAACTATGACAGTCACTGTTTCCTCCATCATGAAACTATGACAGTCACTGTTTCCTCCACCATGAAACTATGACAGTCACTGTTTCCTCCATCATGAAACTATGACAGTCACTGTTTCCTCCATCTATGACCGTCACTGTTTCCTCCATCATGTTGCCGCAGCACTGAGTGCACCAAAAGGCTGAGGGGAGGGAGGGAGGGAGGGGCGAGGGGCGTGTGTTCCAAGGTCATGGCATGGTATATTCCCAATCCAGCAACGTCATCAAAGTCTACAGTCACTGTTTCGTCCATGATGTGCCGCAGCAGTGAATGGCTGAGCAGGCTGGAAAGAGGGGGAGGGTGGGGGCGGAAGGGGTGGGGTGGCATGAGTAGGTCATGAGATAATCAGTCACGGGGACGAGTCTACAGTCCCTGCTTCGTGCATGATGTGCCGCAGCACTGAGTGGACAAGAGGGCTGGAGGGAAGGGGGGAGGGGAGAGGGAGGGGGCGGGGGAGGGGAGATGGAGGGAAAGGGGGAGGGGGAGGGGGAGGTGGAGGGGGAGAGGGAGAGGGAGGGGGAGGGGAAGGAGGAGGGGGAGGGGGAGGAGTGGCATATTTGCAAGACTATGCACTCATCATCAGGACGACTCTGACAGGAGCTGTTTCGTCCATGGAGTGCCGACGGACTGAGGCAAAAGGAGGCTAGGGCGCCCACGTTCCTGGGAGAAGCAGAAGGAAGCGGGGGGGGGGACATGACATATGGTCGTTGGCTTACAGGACGTACGGGGAAAAAAAAAAACTAACTTAGAAAGAATAAATAGGAGACTGCGAGAATCATGGAAGGGGGGCACGAGATAACCCAACGCCCACAGCCCAGAAAGGAATGGAGAAGCGAGCTAAGAAGAATGGAGCTCCGGAGGTTGCTGCTGTGAATGTCCAGATTGATTTCGGAAGCTACTTGCTTACCCAATGCCCACAGCCCAAAAGGGAATGGAGAAGAGAGCGAAGAAGAGTGGAGCCCCGGAGGTTGCTGCTGTGAATGTCCAGAAAGCAACGAAGGCAGTCCAGAACTGGGCGAGCAGAGAGACGGAGGGAGGTGATGGCGCGAGCAGAGAGACGGAGGGAGGTGACGATGAGAAGAAGAGAGAGGATGTGACCAAATCACAGAGAAGCAGGAAACTCTGGAGAATGCTGCTGTGAATGTACAGAGCCACAAAGGCAGTCCAGAAGTGAGAGAGGGTGACGGGGGGAGATGAGTGAGAGGGCGAACGAGAAGGGGATAATTGCGACACATGTTGCTGTTGCTGTTGCGAAGAAGGTCCAGAAGGCACAAATGCAGCCCAGAGCTGAGAGGTGGTGGAGGATGAATGGGAAATAAGTGGAGGAAGGAAATGAAGATAGCAGGGCCACCACATCGCAAAAATTCAGTGTCCGAAAAGCATTTGCGCAGTGTTGTTGCGAACACCTTTCAGGTGGTTTCCAAATTGGTGGGTCCAAACACTTCGCGGTGTAAGTTGGAAAGACCTCGCAGATGGTTTGTCAAACACCACTCAAATGGTTTGTCAAACGCCACGCAGATGGTTTGCCGACACCGCGCTGATGTTATTTGGTCGTACGCGATAACACCTCCACGTCACCATGCGGTCATGCTGGAAGAGAACTTTTGTACTGTGCACGAAGACCATTACAAGTTTGTTCGCGTCACGCTTACATCTATTCATTGTGTTTGAGGCGTGTTGTTGTCCTTTTTTTGGTACATTCTATATCCGTTACTGCCACATCCGCTAGTACTCCATTGCCACAGATATTAGGCTCATTAATTGGTATAGATGGCCAGTAGAAGAAACACATCAGTGTCACAAGAAAACACATCAGTGACACAAAATCTCAGGGTTTAGACCTCTACCCGCATCCAAGCTGTGATCGCCCTACCAACCGCATCCGGACAAAAGGACCACTACCCTGGAAGTAAATCGGAAACGACCCGTACGATGGCATCAACCCCCTCCTTCCTCGTTGAGAGAGCACATACTGCTGCTGCAAGCCCCCACCTACTCCCACCGCTGCCGCTGCAGCTATGATAAACCTAGCTAACCAAGGTATGAGTCTGGCCCTGCTGCTGCTTGTGGTTCGTTCATCCCACAACCCCCCCTCCCCCCCCCCCCCCCCACACCACAGGCTGCTGCTGAGACCCCTCCCTCGCTGCTGCCACCTGTGCCTCATTCTCCATATCCCCTCTCCCCCCTCCCCCCCAAGGCTGCTGCTGAGACCCCTGCCTTGCTGCTGCCACCTGTGCCTCATTCCCCAAATCCCCTCTCCCCCCACCCGAAGCTGCTGCTGAGACCCCTCGCTTGCTGCTGCCACCTGTGCCTCATTCCCCGAATCCCTCCCCCCACCCTAGGCTGCGGCTGAGACCCCTGCCTTGCTGCTGCCACCTGTGCCTCATTCCCTGAATCCCCTCTCCCCCCACCACAGGCTGCTGCTGAGACCCCTCCCTTGCTGCTGCCACCTGTGCCTCATCCCCCAGTCCCCTATCCCCCCCCTCCCCAAGCTGATGCTCATATCCATTCCTCACGCCCGCTGTTGCCTCAACCCTTTAACTCCCCCCCCCCACCACAGCCTGATGCCGAACCCACTCATGCGCTGCTGCCGGTGCCTCATATCACAAATGCTCCCAACCACAACTTCCAGTTCTTGCCGCTGCTGTGAGCGGCTTTATCAATACCCACTATAGTGTGATACCCAAATGTCAAGGCCACTCACATCCCTCAAAAGGAACCCGCCCTCGAGCGCCCCCACCCCAACCTGCTGGTCCTGAAAGCCCCGCACACCACCCGCCCAGCCCACCTGTTTCACATCATTTCGCTGCCAGCACCCCACCCCTCAAACGACGCTGCCACATCATGCATCTGCAAACACCCCATGGTTATGAACCCAGCACACGCCAGTACTGGCGCTTGCAATAAGCCCCTCCCATTGTGGGATGGCTGCCCCTTCAGAATGATGCTGACAGACCCTTCCCTCCAGAGCCCACGCCAATACTTGGCTCCACTTCCGTCCCAGTTGTATCCGTCCCCTGCCCTGAACGGTGTGGTGATGCCACCCCTGCACATACCTGCCTCACCCCTGCAAAAGGACCCTTAATCCTTAGCCTCTCCCTCTCCACCTTTGGGCGCCTTCCCCTTGCCCTCCCTCCCTGGTTCCTGCCACTCGTCCTTGAAGCCACTCTCATGGACGTAAAGTCCATACTCTCCCCATTTCCACCCCCGCATGTCCTTGCTGTACTCCTTGGGGTAGTTGCTGAAGTGGTCAATGACCACCTGTCGCACCCTCTTGTGAAGGTCCGTTATCCAGGCCTTGTTCTTGGG